CGAAGGGATAAGCAGAGTTGCACATTATGCCATTGTATAATGAATGTCACACCCACTTTTCACTATTTATGTTATGAGTCCCATGAAATAGGGTGTGAGCCTATTGCTATATACCGGGCACAATTCTAGACTCTGTGCTACAACTGATAAATTTTTAAAAACCCAGTACTTAATACTTTGCCCGACCCGGGAAACCCCTTGCCCGGCAGTCGCACTTGCAACCACTAGGCCAACGAAGCAGGCCAAGAAAACACATTGTGTCACGTATATCTAAGTTCCGGCATACCAGGGGTTAAGAAAAGCCTAGAACCTATAGACTATAGATAGGGATTCCAAATATCATCACCTCTATACACTGCAAATACATGTTTACTAAGGGTCACCCTATGATGGAAAATGGATGGCATCCTCGCATTCAACTAGTCACATTGAAGGGGTGTTGAACTCCACTGTTATAGTTATACAAGTGTTTACAGGGAGATGGGCAGAGAAGTTTAAATAATTCATTGGTTAAATTGCCGCTATCCGGCGGACCACCAACTGATGTGTGTTTGAAGATATATTTGTTAAAGGGAAACGGTCCACGATGAACCCCGTTGTAGGAGAATGATAGGACCAAACTACAAAATAGTGACTATTCCAATGTGCATTTGTATTAGTCGCCATTTGTTAAGATCTAAATAAAGTAATGGTTAATTTCCTCCATTTCTTAAAAAGCTCGCTAAATCTTGAAATAATATCAGTCCCATAAGAATCGTTATATAAAATCAAAGGCTTTAAGTGTGGGAGAGCCATGCTTCGGCACGAATGGGCCGGAGTGATACCACGGCCACACAGAAAACCGACGTAAAGCAACGCTTGCGTTGTATTTCGTCGTGTGAGTGAGATTACCGGAGGCCCAATTACCCTCCCCTTCCCCAATCTCCCCGATCCCTGAATCCCCAACGTTCCTCAAACGCCTCTGGTGTTCCAGGTGTCCATGGGCGACGCCGATTGCTTACCATCAGGTGATCCGTCTGCTCGTTTACCGACTTATGCCATAAAAAAATCAAAGGATGCAACAAAATCTTTAAAATTATTGGTAATGAATAAATACCAAGATTTTACTGAACCCACATCAAATTCGCTTTGGTGTGTCCGACATTTTAAAAACACAAACATAATAAGCGGTCTAATGTCTTCTTTTCAATACAAAAACACTTCAAATCAACTCAACCATACGCAAAAAATACTAAAACAAACACAAGATTTCGCATAAAACCTCGAACGCAGAATCACTTCAACAAACAATTGCAAGGAAGACTTGACAATACCAAACACAAATATTTGTTTGCACCTCAATTTCTCCGTCTGAGCGGCGCATACGCATCTTAGGACACTATTACGTCATTGGTTGCAATATTTGTAAACATGTAACTGTGCCAAACGTTACGTTAACTCAAACAAATGCCTTCCACTGATTTCATATTCGATGATTGCTATCTGTACTCTATTTTCAGACTATACCATCTACACTCAATTTTAGACCTTATCCTTTTAAGTTAAGTTTGATATTAGATTGAGAATGTAATGTCTCTAATAAGTATCACCATGACAATAGGAATGAAAGTGTTTTTAATTGCGATGGAATAAAAAATGTTAAGATTTTCTCGTGTGAAGTAGATTTTGTACAAAATTGTATGTAAGTTTGTTTGTATAAACGGTAAAAGTAATTTTTCTTGTGCCTAAGTGTTTAATGATGGTGTATTGTGTGAGATTTGTGTAATAGAAATGTTTTTGTGTCATGGAATAGTAGTTTATAATTTGCGATTATAGTAGGTATAAAAACTGTAAGCTGTTCTCACAACATAATCATTGCGGTAATTAATAAGTTATATTTTGTTTGACCTGAGGATTGAACTTAAACACTCGTTTTTTTAATTTTACTCCGCGACTAGTACATAGGGAGTGGAGGATCAAAGTCAAAATCATTTATTTCAATTAGACCAGCAAGGCACTTATGAACGTCAACAAAAAATTAAAGTGAACCTATTTGTTCCTTTCAAGGTGTAGATTCCTATGGAGAAGATCGAGCAAGAAACTCCATAATCAAATCATGAATTTGCATTTTTGTTGGATAAACGCTAAGATTTAATATAAACTTAGCCATAAAGACTAATTGTAAAAGACTTTTTTTAAGGGGGGACAATCATCGAATGACTTCTCCCACCCGGGTGAGGCGGGAGGGAGTGTCAGACTCTTACTGACTAAAATCCACACCGTTCCTTCTCTCACTCACCGCACTTCGAACCGGAGCCCCGGCAACCCGTTAGGTTCTCCGCGACAATTGGAGAACACTAGGGTTTAAGAAAAGATACATGTCACTTTTTGACATAAATGCAATCTTATCGAAAGCAAAAGCTGTTGTTTTTTCCCTAAAAATTTCTATCTAAATCTATTCTCGATTCTGAACTAATGATCCGTGAAATTGAATTCGTCTCGATAGTATTTCAACTTGGCCACACAGCGATACTGACAGGTAGCTATATTTCATCCCTGCTTCATTTCATTAATTAAATCTTGTTTGTTAAGAAAGGGGCTTCTTGTGGACCATAAAATAAGGGAAATCTTTTTAAGGGATCTTATTAAAAATAAGAAAGTAATTTAACTTTGAAACCGATGTGAAGGAACATAATAAACTATAAGGTGAAAAGAAATAGGTAGTACAGTACTTAAACTACAATTTTTTGCTGAATACATTTTTTATATAAGTTGTACTACACACGAAAACCTTGTCGTAATAATATAACAATACGCTGTTGTCAAAATAGATCAGTAACTAGTCGATTAATGTCTTTTGCTATTTATTATGACAGCGGATTCAATTGACACAATTTCCAATATCCGACAAACATAATACATAAACAAATAAAAAACCTAAACTATAGACAGCAAAGTCAACGATCATCATTAAAAAAAAAGATGAAAGCCGTTAAGGAAGTGTCAAATTCAAACGTTTGAATTGCGAACGAAGACGCGTTCCGTTGACTACATTCGAATGCGTGTGCGCGTACAGGAAGCTACTAATGCGGTAACGAGCTGACATCCGCAACTCCGTATTGGGTGGCACTATCTTAATTTGTTATATAACATTTTATTTACATACATACTACATACTTGATTTATTTACTATGTAGCAATGGTTTTGTTCTGGAGTGACATGGTGAATTTTAATCAGCTTTTTGCTTGTCATTTATAAAGGTTTTGTGATTGTTAAGTTGCTAGAATCGTTTATTCTTTTACACTTAAAAATCAGCTGAATAAAGATCGATATGATATTTTTACATGAGTAGTTCTGTCTTAGCATTAACCTTCAAGAAAATAGCGTATTCCTTTTCAAAAGGCCAGCCGGGACCTCCTCTGGTGTTGCTGGTGTTCATCAGCGGCGCTGATCTTTTACCATCAGGCGATTCGTATGCTCGTTAGCCTTCTATTCCGTGTCGCGGAGAACCTAACGGGTTACCGGGGCTCCGGCTCGATGTGCAGGAGAAGGAACGGGGTGGTTTTTAGTCAGTAAGAGTCTGACACTCCCGACCACCTCACCCAGACGGGAGCAGTCATTCGATGATTTTCCCCCTTAGAAAAAAGCCTTCTATTTCATAAAAAAAAATGTTAGAACTATTAGAGTTTAGAGTAGTCATGTCAATATTTTCCGATTGTCTGTCTACTCCTTAACAGTTTCTTGGTTTGGGCTGCTAGTCAGACCGACTGCATTGGTCTAGACTGTACAAAGTTAATCGCACAAAAGAGTCCTTACTCTCAGATCCAGTCCATTCTAAAAATATGTTGCATACTAAATACTAGACCACCCACACATTTCTAATCCAATATACATTTGACACGTTTAACTTTAACACCCCGTCTATTTAAAAATATCAAAACTAATAAACCGAACTCAAGATCTGATTCCCGCATCAATTTAAAATATCAGGTCAATAGATTCTTAACCTTATTTAACGCAATATTGTTAACTAAATAAATTAGATTGCTTTGTTAACCAATAATAATTTAAACGGTTGAAATTCGTTGGATGAGTCAGCTAGATGCATTCTCATTTAGAACCTTTTGTTGGATTCAAAATATTTGATGTTATAGAAAAAAAAATCGCGTTTTTTTTTTTCAGAAAGATCGCAGATTATTTTTTTTAAGTTTATTTTTAAATAGTTTATTTAAAAAGTTTTTAGCAGATTTTTTTTTTATAGCAGTTTATTTTTAAATAGAATTCCTTTTTAATGGATTTTTTAATGGAATGATTTTTAAATAGAATTCATTTTGCGATTTTTGAATCGACTCCATAACGGAGGACGGTTTTTAATATCTGTGATTAAAATAACAAGGTTTCAACTTTTTAGTCTGCACATTCACAAAAACAGTATTTTCTGAAATCTTGAAACCCGATACTGGATATAAGTATGTAATCACGTGCAAGAAAAAGAATGACAATATGCTACTCACATCATCGCCATTAAAATTCAGATGTACGATAGAAAAAATCATAGCGTGCTAATATTACTAATACGGCCATTTCAAGCAATCATAATTGCTATTATAATTTGTGTGGGTTCATATTACTAACTATTATATTATCACAGTCTATACAGTCGTCCAAAGAAGACGTGGCAATGGTGCAGGGTGTGAGGGGCGAGACGCGGGTAGGCCGATCCCGAGTCGCGGAGAACCTAACGGGTAACCGGGGCTCCGGCTCGACGTGCAGGAGAAGGAACGGGGTGGTTTTTAGTCAGTAAGAGTCTGACACTCCCTTCCGCCTCACCCAGGCGGGAGCAGTCATTCGATGATTTTCCCCCCTTAAAAAAAAAAAAAAAAGGCCGATCCCGAGCTGTGAACAAAACGATGTTAGTAGCTCGGGATATATCATTCAGGGCTAACGCGTGTTTGTTTTTACAACGTAAAAAAAAGGATTGAAAAACAAATATACTCATTTATGTTTTCCTTCTTTCCAGGCAAGTGGGACGCAACCTCATCATTCCTGGAGGCACCAGGACTATCGATGCTACTGGCAAGCTGGTGATGCCTGGTGGTATTGACCCACATACCCACTTCGAGCTGGAGATGATGGGCGCCAAGTGCGCTGATGACTTCTACAAGGGTACTAGGGCGGCAGTGGCAGGAGGCACTACTTGTGTCAGTAAGTATACTTGAATATTATTGATATGCTAGGTGTGTTGAAAATAGTTTTGTATACCATCAGGTTCCATCCGAAAGGCAGCATAAGCACCCTTCTAAGGTAGTTTTATAGGAATGAATACGACGTGCTAAAAGACCAAGCATTTTAAAGAGAATCGTAACCTTAACATTTTTTGACATAACAGCACGCCTTTTATCACTGAAAGTGTAGGCAGAGGTGCACACTATAGCACTTAATACCACTGTACAATGTAACACTCACTTTTCACTATTTATGTTAGTTAGAGTCCCATGTAATAGTGGGTGAACCTATTGCCATATACCGGGCACGATTCCAGACTCCGTGCTACTACTAAGAAATTTTATAAAAACGCAATAATACTTTGCCCGACCCGGGAACCGGACTCGAGCCCAGCAGTCGCACTTGCGACCTTTGGACATCGAGGCAGTCTCTAGTCTAGAGACTCGTAACTAAAGATTCTTGCAACTAAATTAATTATTTTCGCTTTCCAGTTGACTTTGTTCTGCCGCAGAAGGGACAGTCTCTATTGGAGGCCTATAATAACTGGAGGGAGAAGGCCGATGGCAAGGTATGTGACTTCACTATTCTAACTTTAATATTGCAAATGTGGAAGGAGTTCATTTGTAACTTTTACGCCTAAACTGCTGGTCACTTTTTTATGAAGTTTGACACAAAAATAGACAAGGATGATGAGAATAGTTTATTTTGCAAAAATCTATACCAAGAACTGAGGATGTCCTAGAACTCTAGAATGTAGTGAAAAATGATTAGGTCATTAGGTATTTTTTTAATGGACGTGAAAGAACACCTTCTGAGCCCCGTAGAATACTTTTTAAGAGAATAAATAATCACTACATAGTAGTATTTGTAAAACAAAGTCGCTATCTGCCGTCTCTCTGACCCTATGTATGCTTAGATCTTTGAAACTACGCAACGGGGTTTGATGCGGTTTTTTTAATAGATAGAGTGATTCTTACGGAAGGTTTTTACGTATAATACATGCATATTGCACCCGTGCGAAGCTGGGGTGGGTCGCTAGTTATTTTATAAACTATGTTTAAAAACACCGACTTAAAACCCCTCTTTTTTTAAAGTCGGTTATTTATTATACTCGTGCACAAACATACATTCTTACGGTCAAACTGTTTTGAACCTCACTTTTTGCAGTCGGTTAAAGACATTAATATTAATAAACCTTTCCATCATTTCAAGGTATGCTGTGACTATGGTCTTCACGTGGGTGTGACGTGGTGGTCTCCAGCAGTGAAGAAGGAGATGCAGCAGCTCGTGTCGGAGCAGTATGGTGTGAACTCCTTCAAGATGTTCATGGCATACAAGGACGCCTGGATGCTGGATGACTATGACCTGTATTGCGCTATGGAGACTTGTGCAGAACTAAAGGCTTTGCCTCAGGTAAATTGGAGATTTTATTAATGTGATTATTTCGTTTTTTTATGAATGGGGGTGATGACAGGGTATGAAAATTAAAAATATAATTAGTCCGTAAGTTAGGTAATGAAAAAATATTAGACACGTATTTTTTTATTTTGTCGTATAATAAAACAATACTTAGATAAAACGAATCAAAGTTTAGGAGTGGGGGCTAAAACGTCATTACTTAGTATAAAATGTACTGAGAAGTGACGTCACGCGACATTTCAAATCAATATATCTTCGAAACTATTCGTTTCTGTGAGAAAATAAAAAATACGTGTCTAATGTTTTTAAATAATCTACCAGACGGACATTAAAATAAAAATTAGTCGTCTACCCCATTGTGATAGAGCCATGCTTCGGCACGTATGGGCCGGCTCGACCGGAGGAATACCATGGCCTCACAGAAGACCGACGTGAAACAACGCTTGCGTTGTGTGAGTGAAGTTATCGGAGGCCCAATTAACCCCCCCCCCCCTCTTTCCCCAATCCTTGAATCCCAACAATCCTCAAATTCCTAATCCCAAAAGGCCGGTAACGCACTTGTAACGCCTCTGGAATTCCAGTTGTCCATGGGCGACGCCGATTGCTTACCATCAGGTGATCCGTCTGCTCGTTTACCGGCTTATCCCATTAAAAAAGGTAGAACGTATGGTAGACAGATAAATCATAATATTGTTTCTTGTGTGTATTCTACCAATTTAATTTAAGAGAATTTTAAATTCTTATCTCATATAGGACTAAGAGAGAGCCTTTGTCTAACTGTGGACGTCTTCCGGCTCTTGATGATGATTAATATATTTGTTTCATCTTTAAGACCACACCACAGACAGGTCGGACCCCTTAAACTGTCAAAAATCTTTTCAACCGTATTACAAATCAGTAAAGTTCAATATCGTCGTGGTGGCCCGGAGGTTTAAGAGGCCCGCTTCTCATGCATGAGGGTGTGGGTTCAAAACCTACCAACGGCAAGTACCAATGTGACTTTTTCCGAGTTATATGTACTTTCTAAGAATGTCTAGACACCACTGACTGAAAGAAAACATCGTGAGGAAACCTGGGCTTATAATTTCTAATTATAACTCTGTAATTGCCAACCTGCATTGAGCAAGCAAGATTAAGGCTCAAACCTTCTCCGTGTGAGAAGAGGCTTTGCTCAGCAGTGGGTATTTATAGGCTGTTGATGAAAGTTCAATATACAAAAAATAACAAAATGATATACTTTGATACGACGATGTATCTTACAAAGGACAAAGACTGGATGACTAATTGTTTATACCTTATAAATTAAAATTGCATTCGCTAAACAGCCCAGTATACGAGTACAGCATACTAATCTATAAGACAATAGGTTCGATTCCATAACATAATGGTCAGCTACCCATTTTGTAAAGATAATTTTATTTTGGTGTGCTCCTGAATGGAGGTTGTGATGTCATTAATTGTTATGGCGTAATATTACGCTTGTTATGGTAGCAAATGTTAGACAGAGAGTTTTCCCTACGTATGCCGACTGCCTCGGGGTCTCGGGTTTGATTCCCGGACTGGGCAAAGTACTACTGGTTTTTTTTAATTCTCAGTAGTAGCATGTAGTCTGTAATTGTGTCCGGTATATGGCAATAGGCTCACCCCCTATTACATGGGACTATAACATAAATAGTCGAAAAGTTGGTGTTACATTGTACAGTGGCATTAATTCTTGTAATGTACACCTCTGCCTACCCCTTCGGGGATAAAAGACGTGATGTTATGTTATGATTCTTCCTACGTATTTACCTCAAGAGGCGTGGTCAGTGATGGTAATTTTAAGAAAAAAAATCCTCAATACTATTTTTCTATTAAACACATGTTTTCTTTTTAATTTCTAACTGTACAGAAGTATTATAAACATGAAAGCAGTTTAAGACAATATCCCCACACTTGGCAAACGATTTGGGGATTATAGTAAAATCACAATAAAACAATATTCACCCTTATTTGTTGCAGGTGCACGCAGAAAACGGTCACATAATAGCTCGCAACACGGAGAAGCTGTTGGCTAAAGGAGTGACAGGTCCTGAGGGTCACCAGCTGTCCAGGGATGAGGAGGTGGAAGCTGAGGCTGTTAACCGCGCCTGTGTTATTGCTAACCAGGTGAGTGTGGGAATTTTGTAAACCCTAAACTTTTTTTTATATTAGATGGGACTGACGTTTGACCACTATCTCGGGTGGTGGTAAGCGATGATGCGATCTACGATGGAGCACGTCGTCCTACAAGCAACCTATTCACTCGGGCCTTGAAGACACCCAGGTTATCTAAGCCTTAATCAACATTATTTGGTATTTACAGGCCGGAGCCCCTCTATACATAGTGCACATGATGTCAAAGAGCGCGGTGCGCGCCCTGCAGCTCGCTCGCTCGCGCCAGCGACACGCGCTCATCGGGGAGACACTCGCCGCTACTGTGGGAACTGATGGTATGGACACTCTGTATATTCATTTTTTATGGGGCAAACGCCTGTAATCCTGGATGTACTGTAAATACAATGAGGAAAACACCACAAAATGTCTTGGGCATCCCAGGGACATGAATAACTAAAGGTTTTGGATCCCGCAACATAATAAATCTGAAGATATTATTATTAGATGAGAAAAAAACGAAACCGTTTCCACTTTCCTCTATGAATTTAATTCAGAAGGCAGCATTATCAAAATCACCGTTGCAGAAGTTTACTATCAATATTTTTCTTTTCAACCGACTGTAGAACACAAGGAAGAGTAATTATTTACTACCTCTTCTTCTATTTACCTCTTGACGAAAAACTTCAACGCATCCTTACTAATTAATATTATACCTCTAAATCGGAAAGTGAGTTTGTTTGTTTGTTTGTTTGTTCGTTCCGCTTTCACGCTGTAACTACTAAACCGATTGCTTTGAATTTTTTACAGACGTAAAGTTAGAAGTCCGGATTAAATAATAGGGTACTTTTTATCCCGGAAAAATGTGATATTCCCGAGGGAAAACAAAAGTATTGGTATAGATGGCGCTGTGTGTATTGTTATATGCCACATAGGCTACGTTTTATCCTTTTGTGACGCGAGCGAAGCCGCGTGTAAAAGCTAGTTCTTAATACACTAACATCCATATTGAATGTCCCAGGTTCCCACTACGGCAACGCATGTTTCCGCCACGCGGCGGCGCACGTACTGTCCCCGCCACTGCGGCCCGACCCCAGCACGCCACAGGCCATGTGCGAGGCTTTGGCTGAGTGAGTATCCTGTATAGTATTCCTGACTAGATTAAGAGCTGGATAAGGAATTGAGATGTAACTGTATAGCAAAAGTCTTCTGCTAATAACTACACTGACATCAACAGCCTATATATGGCTACTGTTGACCAACGGCCTCTTCTCACACTCTGTATATATATATCAATGCGTTATTTTATTATAGTTATTAAGTTACTGAGGCCAAGTGGCTAGGTGACCGATTGCTGCAACGTGATTCGAATTCGATTCCCATACGAAACAATTCATTGTGTAATGCACAAATTATTGTTCTGGGTGGGGACAATATGATGTGTTTCATATCACATAACATCACGCCTTTTATCCCCGAAGGTGTAGGCAGAGGTGCACATTACGGCACTTAATGCCACTGTACAATGAAACTCCCACTTTTTACTATTTATGTTATGAGTCCCATGTAATAGAGGGTGAGCCTATTGCCATATACTGGGCACATTTCCAGACTCCGTGCTACTACTGAGATTTTTAAAAACCCAGTAATACTTTGCCCGACCCGGGAATCGAACCCGAGACCCCTTGCCCGGCAGTCGCACTTGCGACCACTCGGCCAACGAAGCAGTCAATGAGCAATGTGTTTCATATGTAACCATGGTACATAAGAAAATCATGCTAGTCTACATTATTTTAATAAAAAAATCATTCTCCCTCAGCGACCACCTGCAGCTAATTGGCAGCGACAACTGCACATTCCACGAGAAGGACAAACAGCTCGGCAAGGACAACTTCGCCAAGATACCCAACGGAGTCAACGGCGTCGAGGACCGCATGGCTATACTCTGGCAGAAGGCTGTTAATACTGGTGAGAGATCTTCTACTGTATTATATTTTGTATAAGATAGAGATGGCAACCAGCAGAGGGATCACCTGATGGTAAGCAATAAATCGGTCGTGGTGGCCCGGAGGTTTAAGACGTCCGCTTCTCATGCGGGTGCGGGTTCGAAACCTACCAATGGCAAGTACCAATGTGACTTTTTCCGAGTTATATGTATTTTCTAAGATTATCTAGACACCACTGACAAACGGTGAATGAAAACATCGTGAGGAAATCTGGGCTTATAATTTCTAATTACAAGTTTGTAATCGCTAACCCGTATTGAGCAAGCGTGGTGATTAATGTTCAAACCTTCACCGTGGGAGAAGAGGCTTTGCTCAGCAGTGGGCATTTATAGGCTGTTGATGAAGCAATCGCCGCCGCTCATGGACATCTGAATGCCCAGACAATTTACAACAAACCGGCCTTTAGGGGATGATTGGCCCTCCGGTAATCTCACTCACACAACTAAACACAACTCAAGCGTTGTTTCACGTCTGTTTTCTATGAGGCCGTGCGTGGTATTACTTTAGTCGAGACGACACATTTGTGCCGAAGCATGGCTCTCCCAAGTCAATTACGTAAACTTCTTATGTATTGAAAGATAGATTTCTGAAATCTGCGTCTACCCTGAAGGCAGATGCAGCTTTCCATTCATCTTTAGCCCTCTCATTAAAGAAATATGACTAACGACTTATGAAACAAGGAACAAAATATATTAACACATTTTTCTGCTGAATAAATATGATACCTATTTCGAGGATGTAAACTACATTGACAAACAACTTTTTTTAAAAAAAAACGTCCCCCACAAGGGTACAAGGACACAGGAGATATCCTGTGTCGTGGAAACATTTACAAACATACAAGCACACATCACCCAGACCCGGAACAACAATCTGTGGATCACACAAAGAGTTGTTGTGAACCCGCGACTCGTTGCGCGGCAACCAGTTGCCCAGCCACTGCGCCAAATGTGTGCCGTCTAATAAATAACAACTAATTTTAAATGCCTCGTTGGCCGAGTGGTCGCAAGTGCGACTACCGGGCAAAGGGTCTCGGGTTCGATTCCCGGGTCGGGTAAAGTATTACTGGGTTTTAAAAAAAATCTAAAATCAAAAGTAGTAGCACGGAGTCTGGAATTGTGCCCGGTATATGGCAATATGCTCACCCCCTATTACATGGGACTCATAACATAAAATAGTGAAAAGTGGGTGTTCTGTTACTTCTGTGTGCACCTCTGCTTACCCCTTCGGCGGATAAAAGGCGTGATGTAATGTTATTTTAAATATCTCTTCATCAGGAATCATGGACCCGTGCCGCTTCGTAGCGGTGACCAGCTCGAACGCGGCCAAGATCTTCAACATCTGGCCGCAGAAGGGACGCATCGCCGTCAACAGTGACGCAGACATCGTCGTCTGGGATCCCAAACTCGAGAGGACTATATCTGCAGCTAATCATAAGCAAGCTGTTGATTTTAATATTTTTGAGGTAAGTTATACTCAGCTTCTCCGTGTGAGAAGAGGTTTTGCTCAGCAGTGGGCACTTATAGGCTGTTGATGCATATATCAAAAACCCTTGAGCTGAGTATAAATCATAATGTATACTCACCTGCGACCACTCGGCTAACGGGGCAGTGCATTACAGTGCATTAAGCGCCAAAATGTGCACCTCTGCCTTCCTCTTTGAGGATAAAAGGCGTGATGTGATTATTTTCCGCCGAAGTTACTTACTATTGAGAAGACTAATATTTTTCTATTATCATTTTCCAGGGTCAACACGTGGTCGGCAGTCCCCAATATGTGGTCGTGAACGGACGTGTCTGTCTTGATGATGGAGAACTGAGAGTGGTTGAAGGTATGTTTACATACATAATGTGACCTCAGATATAATACACATAATATGATAAAATATGAAAAAAAGACAATAAAATGGTTCTGTCTCGGTAACACAATAGTTGTACAAAGAAATAAAATGTTTAAAACTAAAAATAACTGGTGAACCTTTGCAAAAACCAAACTTTGAAATCGTATGCGTACTCATAGTACCTACATTATCAAAACATCCCGCCATGTAATTATCGAAATAGTTTTTTTAGTTTTTACTTATTTATTAGTACGTACTCTATATGGATGGTTGTTTTGCCGCGGGATGAAAACGAATTTAACACGATGTATGCTTACTCATGTAGGTACGCTTACTCTGCCAATTTCAATAAACTATCTTAATCCAAAATCTGTCGATATAGATCGATTATTGACAGTAGTTGTACGGAGTTTCTGTCAAAAATCGATCTTAATCCACATATTTTGGATTACGAAATGTTATAGAAATTGGCAGTAAGCGACGTGAAACAACGCAATCGTTGTTTCACGTTGGTTTTCTATGAGGCCGGCTTATCACTCCGATCAAGGCGGTCCATTCATGCCGAAGCATGGCTTTCCCACACTCATTTTCTTACAATTAATCCTATCTTCCAGGTTTCGGCAAATTTCTGAAGACACCAGTGGAATCTCCAATGATATACGACGGACAACAAAGCCAGGAGGAAGCTCCTCATAGACCAGAGTTCCTGGAGGCTCCAATGCGCGTCACCAACGGCACTCCTTCCCCTGGTAAGTGCCATTACTTTTATTACACACCCATAAAATGGCGCTGTTTTGTGGGTATTCACAGGCTGTATGCAAGGCTACGCACGCAAGCTTTATAAGCTTGTGTAAATTGCAATAAGTTGGTATCATAAGTTAGTTAAAAGAAAGGGAAGAAAGTTAAAAATAAATATATAACATAACATAACATCACGCCTTTTATCCCCGAAGGGGTAAGCAGAGGTGCACATTACGGCACTTAATGCCACTGTACAATGTAACGCCCACTTTTCACTATTTATGTTATGAGTCCCATGTAATAGGGGGTGAGCCTATTGCCATATACCGTATATATACCATTGCCATATACCCTGCAATATGCTATTTTATGAAATAGGTCGACGAACGAGCAAGATATTGATACTAATAAATTCGCACTGCGCAAGTATACTTGCAACACTCAAGAACAAAAGTAATGCAGTTGCAGGCTTTTAGAAGGAATTAGGCCATCTACCTATCAGCTACCTCAATTCTCTTAAAAGTATAGATATGACGTTATTCAATGACACTATAAAATAACTTATGATGCTAACTTATGTAGTCTAGTGCAAATGCCCACACGCAACTAAGCGTAGTAAGTAGTCACTTGTACATACTAAGCTAAGCTAGGCTATATTTAATAAATATGTCGTTTTTACTATCATCGGGCGGGCAGCAAATGAAAGAGTAATACATATATGATTCAGTCAAATATTACATGTCCTTTCCTTTTTGACGGAACGGGGCGAAGTTGTAAAAACTAGATAATGTAAATGCTTAATTATTTTTAACTCGAACACGAATACTGAACATCATTTTTATCTTAACACATTAAACGCCATGGGGGTCACCGGCGACCGACGTTAGAGGAGGATTTGCCTTCTATGTTTTCTATTGGCAGTCAAAATCTTAATTGAAAATCTTTTAATTAAAATCAATTTTTGACATAAGTTACTGTTGTATTATCAAACCTAGATAGATGCAGATATTTTGTATTAAGGTTTGGTATATAATTTCGTCCTTATAAATAAAAATATTCCGATGACCTGTCAACATTATTCTTAACTAGTTTCTGCCCGCGACTTCGTACGCGTAATCCCATTTTTTCCCGTCCCCGTTCGTGATTTTCGGTAAAATTTAAAAAAAAACATTGGTTGAAAAGTATCCTATGTCGGTCTCCTGGCTCTAAGCTACCTCCCTACCAATTTTCAGCCAAATCTATTCTGCCGTTCTTGAGTTATAAGTAGTGTAACTAACACGACTTTCTTTTATATATATATATATAGATTTATCATCGGTCAAAAATGCTAGCTTTTAGCTTAAACTTAGACATTGGAATCGAAGCTGATAGCCTGTTGCCTGAAGGCAGGATTCCGATCTAACGTCGTGTTTCTCTTGCAGAAAATATCATGTATACTTGCTGCCCTGCCTGGGAACCGACTCGGCCAAAAGGTCGGCTGTTATAATTTAAATGTTTGTTTTGAGTGTGAGAACTAGAATTTTACGTATCAAATAAGTATGTTAATTAAATTACCACGCATTTAACAGACTGCCTCGTTGGCCGAGTGGTCGCAATTGCGACTGCCGGGCAAGGGGTCTTGGGTTCGATTCCCGCGTCGGGCAAAGTATTACTGGGTTTTTTTAATATTCTCAGTAGTAACACGGAGTCTGGAATTGTGCCCGGTATATGGCAATAGGCTCACCCTCTATTACATGGGACTCATAACATAAATAGTGAAAAGTGGGTGTTACATTGTACAGTAGTATAAAGTGCACCTCTGCCTACCTCTTCGGGGATAAAAGGCGTGATGTTATGTTATGTTTAACAGATACTGGGCAGCAGCTATCTCTGATAAGCTTTTACATTTTGATCTCCAATTCGCCTGTCAACCGTGGAGATAATGGCAAACCCTCTTATGTAGAGGCTTACAGTCCAGTATGGACTATCATTAAAAATATGTGCAAAAATGTATCTTTTACTTTGTGATTCATTCAAGTAATAATAAAAGAATCTGGACATAACTTTTTCTTTAACAAAATTTAATTTTGACAGAAATAATTAAAAATCTCGTTTACACACTTAAAAGAACGCAAAACCTAAATAAATGTAACAAAATACCTGGTTATTGACCCCAATAGACCTATTTCCTAACTTGTGCCCTATATTCTAGACCTAGGACTGATGAACAAGAGCGTGGAGAGTCTCTCGGTGTCCGGGTGTAGCACACCCACCGGCAGGAAGATGCGGGAGCCGGGACAGAGGAATCTGCAGACTTCTACCTTCTCTATCAGCAGTAAGTTGGCTTTATATTATAACGCTAGTACTATTTTAACTGCCTCGTTGGCCTTGTAGTTGCAAGTGCGAGTGCCGGGCACGGGAAAGGGGTCTCGGGTTCGATTGTCGGGTCCGGCAAAGTATTACTGGGTCTTAAAAAAATCTCAGTAGCAGCACTGAGTCCGGAATCGGGCCCGGTATATGGTAATAGTCTCACCCCCTATTACATGGGACTCATAACATAAATAGTGAAAAGTGGGTGTTACATTGTACAGTAGTATAAAGTGCACCTCTGCCTACCCCTTCGGGGATAAAAGGCGTGTTGTTATGTTATGTTATGAAGTTATTATCATCAGTTTTAGGTATTATTAACTGCATCTCTATTTCGTATCATAAGTCTTGTATGTACTCCTTCCATTGTATTCAAAAACATTATTTTCAATTTGCAGAAGAAATCGAAGGTCTGGATACCAAGACCTCAGTTCGCGTGAGGAACCCACCTGGCGGCAAGTCTTCAGGACTGTGGTAAACAGGTTCAGTACCCACCCGGGAATAGAACCGACTAGCTTGCGATGACACAACACTGATACTTGTGAACAGTTGTGATAATTTACTTTGTTCATTTGAAGAATTATAATTATTATTGATTTTGAATTTTGATCCTTATCGCTAAGGATTTAAGGGCGAGAATATGATAAGACGTGAATGTTTTAAGAACGGATTTTTGTATAAAAATCATGAAAATGTAACGATAGATAAATTGTCTAGATTTTGTTAAAAACTAAATTCTAATTTCACCTATTAGTCTAGTAGTTAGCACGTAACTACGAACCAAAGGTGTCACATTCGATTCCTGTGACGGAACTTTTCACAAGTAAAAGTTAGGGGCTTGGGCTATGAACCAATGTTTTTAAGCTACTCGTCGATAACCCAAAGCTTAACATTAATTTAACTTAGACTGTTAATTACTTAGGTCATGACATAATAATATAAACCGGTTTTCTAAAAAACATGTTATTTTTATTTATTCAGAGTAGACTGACCATAGAAAACCAATGTATTAGGTATTTTAATTTGAAAATATTATAAACAAGTGCGTTTTGAGATAGTTGTATTCATTTTTCACTTAATATTTTCTCTTATGTTAATCTTAAATATACTAGCTGTATTTTGAAAATTAAAAGTGTTTAATCTATTTCGTTTTCATCCCGTAGTAAAATTCTAATTCAAAAGTTCTGTCTTGGTAATATAATAGTTCTAAAGAACTATTATAGTGTATAACTATTATAGTGTATATATATCAGTAGTTCTAAAGAACTACTGATTACCATTGTAAAAAGCAAACTTTGACTCTACATTATCAAAACATCACGCCATGTAATTCTCGAAGAGGTGTTTCTGATCGCGCGTCATTTGTTTAAATTTACGTCTAGTGTTTCATGTGGGCATTTCCATTATTTTTTTTAAAGTTTCATACAGTGTTTTTGTTATTTATATATCGAAAGTACTCCTTATGGAAAGTTGTTTTGCCGCGGGACGTAAACGAAATAGATTTCACGGTGTTTTAACTATGCACACCTCTGCCTAGTCCTTTAAGGTATAAAATGCGGGATGATTTTGATTTAATAGCAGTTTTATCCTAACTTCGTTTCATCCGACAAAAGTTATCATTGAGTGTAATTTTTTTTTATTTAATTAAGCTTAATACAGCCTCATTAGTCCAGTGGTAGTCAGCGCTACTGCTGTGTACTAGGTCCTTGGGTCAACACTCAGGTGGGGTCCAGTATTTTTTCTGTTAATTTGTGTAATAAATGAATTACCGGTTGGAGTCTGGATATGTGCTTGGTCTATAGCCATAAACTCACCACCGATTTGTAATTTTAGTCATTATATATCTCTGCTTGTCCCTTGAAGGATAAAAGGCGTGATGTTACATGAAAACCGCAAGATGTTTAAGATTAATAGTAAAGAGAAAACTTTAATTAAGAAATTCAATAAACTAAATTATTTATTTACATTCTATTATGGTTGATTTTGGCACAAAACATGCTAGAAAGAATCAAATTGATTATGAAATAGATTGGACTAGGAAAACTGTAAAACAACAAATTTCACATATTTATTTGTATTCAGGAAAATAAATAATTGTTCTATATTACATTTAATTGTTTGTTTACAAATGTTAACTGTTTGTAATTATGTTATTATAAGTTACAAAATAACTTACCACTTTTGTGAAAATACATTAACATAATTGGTTAAAAATGAATATCACAAAATATGTGCATCATTGTCTACCCCCTATGGGAGAATAACGGTGTAATATCAATATGGTATGCCATTGAATTTAGTGTATTTTCACAAAAGTTCTATTTTTCAAATTCCTTAATGTTATTGCTAAAATGGGCCAAAAATGTTGATTTTAACTCTGCATTTATTGTCATTTATTAATTGTTATATCATTTGTTTAAATTGGAACTTTAAAGCAATAAGAACTAATTAGAAAATAATAGCTAAAATACAGGTTGATTGAAAGAAATATTCAGTGACATAAATATTGTAGAATTGAGATTTAAACTGGGCATGTTACCCCCTGTAGTATTTTTGACAAGATTTTGAAAATAGCTCCTACTAACATATCCAAAATGTTAAACCTTTTTCGAAATTTATACACTATATAAACGGTTTTTCAATCGCCTGTATACATGAATAAGAAACAGAACTACCACCAGTAATACATTTAGTTTTAAAAGTATTTCTAAGGACTTTTTAAACTCCTAAACTTGCTGTCGTTCATTAGTTAAAACACATAACTGTCATTTTTATGTAAGTAGGTGAAGAGCGAATATATCGCAGCTGTATGTTGTGCTTTTGTGATGTAAACATTGAGATGCATAGATACTATTCAATGTATATTTTGATGTATAAATTTCATAGTTTTTGATCTTGTAAAAGCTCTTGTTCAAAACCCCTTCTGGAGAAGAAAATTTTGTCGATTTACACAACTATGAATATGTATTGCTAAAATAATGTAACAATATTTTCTCGATATTACAAAATTGATAACACTGCCATCTATCTAAAGATTTTGAAATTAAATTCATACTTGTTTAAATAGTGTCTATGTGTCTCAATTCCGTAATGTATCTTAAGATTCATAAAGAATCGTTAGTTTTTAGGTATGATTGTTTTATAAAACACTTTTATAACGATTTGTCACCAATGTACTGTCGCCTAGCATTTTTGTTAGTTTTGAAGACGAAACACTCGCAAATTTTAACTATAGATTTTTGAAAAATGTTGTTGACTTGCATTTTTTTATCCTACTTACTTTCTAAAGCATACCAAAAACATGGTTTATTTTGACCCTTTTGAAATACTTAATCTAAATATAACATCTTTTCGTCTTTAATACATTTTAGCTTCATATAACTGGAATATATAATTGGTCATTATAGGGGCCAAACTATCATATAATCGCAGTACAAATCCTTAAATTCATTTATCTCTCCGGAAAAAACTAGTCTTGCAATGGCGTCACAACTTTTATAGCGTTTTACATTATTTCTGAATGTATATTCTCTATTATGCATTGTCACGAATAAACAATGTAATCTCATGTCCTGTGTTTCATTCGTAACCTGCAACAATATTTAGTATGCTTATAATGCCGGAATATTGAATGAAACGTTACTCAATTTTAAGTCGTGCTTAAACATCGTGCCATCTCTGTCATTTCACAAAGTATTAGTGGTGACAGAACTATACTTAAGCGCGACTTATAATTCGGGCATTAATCACACTGTTTAATAACAGGGGTACTCAGAAACATGAAGAACTTTTAAACTGAAATCTTCTACCTAAGCGTGGGGATTGCAACAGTTCCTTTTCATGTGGATAAAGGTCATATTAAAATGTTGAGAATTATTTATTACTAGCGACCCGCCCCGGCTTCGCACGGGTGCAATATGCATTTATTAGTACATATAAACCTTCCTTAAAAATCACTATCTGTTAAAAAAACTGCATCAAAATCCGTTGCGTAGTTTTAAAGATCTGGGCATACATAGGGACAGACAGACGGCGGATAACTTTATTTTATACTATCAAGTGATAACTTTAATAAGTTTAAGAACTTACTTGCACTGTTATTAACAAAAAAGTATTCCACGAAAAAATAATTACTTCAACACAGTTCCACTAAAGTGCAAAATTCAATCATATTTATTGTGAAGTACCAGGACTTCGTTAGAGGTCTATTAAAAAGTGAGTAGGAAGTGGACTTTGTTTCCTGATATAGTAACATATAACAGGCAGAAATAGTAAATGATCTTAAGAATTCAAACCCTGTTTTAATTAAAAGATAACATAACATCACGCTGCCTTTTATCCAAGAAGGGCAGAGGTGCACACAGAAGTAACAACCACTTTTCACTATTTATGTTATGAGTCCCATGTAATAAGGGGTGAGCCTATTGCCATATACCGGGCACATTTCTAGACTCCGTACTACTACTGATTTTTTTTTAAAACCCAGCAATACTTTGCCCGACCCGGGAATCGAACCCGAGATTCGCTTGCCCGACAGTCGCTCTTACGACCACTCGGCCAACGAGGCAGTAATTTAAACTAAACAAAATGTTTACATCTACCTATCCTATCAGATCAAATGATATCCAAACAAATCCAAGTTGACCCATTAATAGTTAATAACTACCAAAATTAGAACCGCAGTAATAATGATATAGGTTAAAGTGACGGTGCCTCGCTAAACAGGGCTCCTACTTCTGACCAGGAGGTTTGAAGTAACCTAACGATTGGCATGACGATAGCTATTAGTTCTAGTTAGCTAGCTCACTATAGCTTCCGTCATACTCATACCATTCTGACCTAATCACCTACCATGTCGGACTGCAGCAAAGGTGATCATTTATTACATTTTTGGTGTTATTGGTAAAAGAACTGAGAGAACTGAAGAGGGTATCAAAGTCTTATCTAGTGATCATAATATTTAATCCCATTCTTCAATGACAATTCAATGAAACGTGTGCCAGAATAGGACAGAGCAGCAACAGTAAAAGAGAAAAGTAATCGTAGTATTAGGCCTTTACCTATGAAATTGCCGCTCTGCAGTACTGACTATTCCAAATCAAAATAATTTTTATTTGGCTATAAAAATAAGAGAGTAATAAGGGTAAGGAGGCCATTGCCCTGCAGTGGGACGACTATGGCTAAAAATAAAAATAAATAAAATAGGAATTCTAATTTCAAATTAATTTTATTTTAAAAGCATGGAATGTTTGTTCTAAGCATAGTCGTTTGAATTATTACATTGTCATCGCATTGCCATCTTTTTCGTCATCATGGATACGTTAAAAATTCGAGTACCTAATTATGAAATATAATATCGAAGGAGTAGAAATAGATAGTCTACATGAAATCCGCGATTTGGGTGATCTTAAGTTAATTAAGATCTTAAGCTCTTAAGTTTGATGCGCACATACTGGATATAGTTTCAAAGTCGTTTAA